ATATATATATACATACAAACACATACATACATACATATATGCATATATATGTATACATATTTCTTTACATTTTTTGGTTTCTTTTTCTGATAGGAGCAATTAAAAATATAGTTAGAAGGGGAGCATTATCATTTTGCTGGTTTGTTTTAAAATGACCCCCCCTCTCTTTGTTTTGTTTTAATACATTTTTTTCCCTTTTACTGTATATGCAATAACAAGGTTTGTAAACGTAATAAGGAGAAGGAAAAGAAAACAGTGGATGCTATTGATAAAGTATTTATGTAATTAATGGATGACTTGTAAATACCTGGCCTATGAATACTCGAAATTAAATTTTAATTTATTGATATTGTATATATGTCTGTAAATATAGACCGCAGCTGTCTTTCTGGTTTCCTTTTTTGTTTTTTTTGTTTTTTTAACTCATTTTCATTTCAAAGTCAAAGGTTCCCTTGTGAAGAGTTACAACTTCAAAAAAAAAAAAAGAGGGGGGGAGGGGGGAGCAAAAATCCATCACGGGAAGACCATGTGACATTTCCGATGTTTCTTTTTTCTTTTTGTTTTACTGTGCCATTATGAAGAGATTTGGGGGGGGAGGGCAGGGGGAAGCATGCAAAAAAAATAAAAAATAAAACGCAGAACAAATAGGCTTGGGAAAAAGACTGTACAATGGTTGCACATCGCTGGATACTCCCCGATTCTACCCCATGGGAGAAATGATTAAATAAATATGTAAATTAAATACGACACACTTCTCAAGTAGATTTGTGAAGAAGGGGTAGGGGCGAGGGGGAAAAAGCGTTTTGTTCATCTAAAAAGATCCCCCGCAAAAAAATCATTGCTATTTCTTTTTAACTCCATTAAATGTTTAAATGTTTAATAAATTTATATGCCGCCCATTGCCAATTTATTATGCTTGGTTGAATGGTCAGGCAGATGTTTAGACTGTGGGTTTGGCATTTTTGTTCACCAGTCCTTCCCAAGGACCTGGGATAGGCAGATGTGGATATTTATTATAGATTTTTCTCGGGGCGGGGGGAGTTAAGGTGTTCCGACTAAAACTGCCCTTTGCAATTGACTGCAGGGGATTTTGTCAATGCCGATTTTGCTGCTCCAGATGTTTTGGGATTGGACCCAAGTTGCTTTATCCCTCTTTGGGTCTATCTTCGTTTTCTTTTGCCATAGTCCTTCTTCCACTTCTGTTTGTGGCTCTTGGTATTTCGTTATTTTTCTCCGATTCTTTCTCTTCTCTTCCGCTGTCTCCAGGCACTGCCACAACCATTATCCAGACTCCCTTATTGACAGTTGTTAAATATGGGGTGATCTGGGGCAGATTGTTGTTGTTGTTGTTGTTAACCTTATTGGAAAACCGAGTCCGATATTTTTACAGGCTCAACATCTAGTGTTGAGCATTGTTGCAAGCAAAACAGAAATAAATAGATTTATTGAAATGGTTCAAAAGGCTTTCCAGCTTTCCTGCAATCTTCCTTCCCTCCTAAACTCAAAAAAAGTTTCTTTTAAGATCCTTACAATGGCAACCAACTATAATTTTTTTTTCATGTCTGCATCTTGGAGGCTCAACTGATGTCAAGGTACCTGGCTGCAAAGTAGTTTCCCCAATCTTGATTCAGATTGTACTGAATCTGGGTTGCTTTTTTGGGGGGGGGGGCTAAGATAAATGCCCCCCTCCGAAGCAGCAGATCGTTTACAATCAGATACGCCATTTACTCAGAAGTAAAGCCTATGGACGCCAATGAAGGCGGAAGCTTGAAAAAAATCTATGTACAAGCTCAGTTTGCGTTGGGTGCAACTTTTATTCAGGTTTTGCAAGGGGCAAGAACTTTGTGTGTGTTTAAACCTTCCACTCACATTTACCATAGAGTGGTAGGCCCATTGGCGTCAATGGGGTTAGACTAAAAAAACGAGATTGGTCTCCATTACTGGTTGATTTTCCCTCCCCCCCCCAATTAAAACCTCCCAAATTCCCCCCAAAACTTCGTTGTACCCTTCCGGGAAGCATTTCGCATTGGAAAAAAACAAAAACCCCAAGATGCGCACTATTCAAAGGTCAAATCCAAATTTCCAATCTTAACTTTACAGTTTTGGTCTGTGTTTATATAAAAGGCTTCGAGGAATGAATAAAAATTCTTCGGGGCCTGGATAAGGCTAGAGTTTTTTTAAAAAAACATTTAAATCAAGCAGTTAATTTACTAGCAGGTTTTTTTAAAAAAAATAATATTAATAATAATTCTACCGGGGAATAGAAATCAACATAACTTCAATTTTCTATCCGGCCTGCCCTCTTCCCTTCATCTGTATTTATGATTCAGGGAAAATATTTACACAGCTCGCAAGCCTTCGCCAAGGAGGGGCGGAGAGAAAGAGAGTTATAAATCTTTGCGGGAGACAAGAGTGGAGTTTCGGCCCCTTTCCGTAAAACTCTGGACGGTCAGGCCCGGGACGGGACTACCCCTTCAACGCAAACTCCAAACGCGGCCTCTGAATCAGCGTCCGGTTGGAGCAAGTCCCGCCTTGGGGAAAAATAAATGGGTAATTGTGAAGACTTGTGAAGAAGACGGCGCTTGTAAATATCCGAGAAAGATAAAATAAAATAAATCTTTCCCCCCACCCCCGGGTCCATCGTCCTACGCCGTCTCTTCGCGGAACTTCCTTCTCTTGCTCTGAATTGCGCGCGATCCAATTGGGATCCACAACAGGCGCTTTTGGCGGGTGGGTGGGTGAAGGGTGTGGAAAAAGCGGGACGGTCGAAATTCTGTCTTGGGATCGTTCTAAAAAGCAAGCGAGGGAGCTCCCCACCTCCCCCGTGGCCTTAGCCCCACGCCTACGCCTCCCTCCTCCTAGGATAAGCAAGAGAGGAAAACATGTGGTGTGTGTGTGTGTCTGTGTGTGTGTGTGTGTATGTTTCGTAGTTCAGACAGGGCGGCGAAAAATGGGGGAAATCTTATCGGGAAGAAGTTTCGGTTGACAAATATTTGTTTGTGTACTCTTGGCGGAGCCCCGGGGGGGAGGGAGGGGGAAAGACATTAGGGAATCAGATCGGTTCTGCTTTTAGTTTTGGGGGTTCCCTTTTCAGATTTGTTGTTTTAAAAAGTTGGGTCTCTCTTTCTCTTTCTGTGTCTTTGCCTCCTTCAGTCTCTCTTTGTCTTTCTCTGTTTTTTCTTTCTTCTTTCTCTCTTTTGTATTTCTTCGTGTCTCTCTTCTTTCACCGTTTCTTTCCTTTCTTCCCTCTTTCTTTCTTTTTTGTTTGTTTGTTTGTTTGTCAAACATGTACAACAGAACAAGTATAGGTATGAACATAAAGATGAACAAAGGAAGTAAATACAGATAAATGGGGACAGTTAGACAGGGACGGTAGGCTGATGCGCTTATGCACGCCCATTCTTCCTTTTCTTCTTTTCTTTCTCTTTCTCTCTTTCTTTCTTTTCTTTCCTTCTTTCTCTCTCTTTCTTTTTTCTCTCTTTTTCTCTCTTTCTTTTTCTTTACCTTACTCTCTCCTATTTCAGTTTCTACATCCGTCCGTGCCTGGACTCCAGCCTGCCTGGGTAAAATCTGCGCAATCCCTAAAGCCCAGCGAACCTCGAAACTTATCTCTCTGTAATTTTGCATTGCATTAAAAGCTGAGGTGGTCTACCACTGGTTCACTTCGGAATTAGCTTAGTTTGCTTAGAGAGGCACACACAAAAGGCAGGATGTGGCCTGTACACACACACACACACACACACACACACACACGTCTTACACACATACCCCCAAAAAACAACCGAATTTCGCACTTCCCTGGTTAAAAATCCCAAACGCAGGAAAGAGGAATGCCAGGCCCTTGGCTTTGCTTCCGACTAAACTTTGAAAGAAGTCCTCCCAGCAGCGCTGGACGAGAAGCCTCTTCGCTATCTCTTCTCCCTGCCTCTCCCCCCCCCCCCCCACCTGCTCCTCCTCTGGAAACCCAACTAAGAAGACACAAGGCGGCCGGAAACCGAACTGCGTTTGGGAT